CTTCAAATTATGGCAGTCTAGGTAATCAGACTAACCCTCCCACTGAAAATAACTAGAAAAGCTAGAAAAAAATATAAATTATCTGTCTAAAGAATCAGAGAACAAGGCATTGAGGAATTACATACTCAAGATCCAGGAGAAAGAGAAAACCCAGAAATCCCATTTTGATATGTTTCTTAAGTGATCAGGGCAAGTTCTTGAAGAGATGGCTGACAGGATGAGAAGCTAACCAGAACTTTAAATAGACCCCTTGGGCTATGGAGATAAAAACAGAGTTCAGAACCCCCAAAGAGAAGGGTTAAGGTAAACCCATACTTCAGACTGGGACCTTAAAGGGCCATATGCTAGGAGTAAGGTGAAAAGGTTTACAGGAAATAGACTAGCCCTGGTAGGAAACAAAAGTATAGTTTCAAATCAGCTCAATTCTTTTTTTAAAGTAAAAAAAAATTTTTTTAATCCCACTGACAGAAAGACATTGTCACTACTCCCAGGAAAATTGAAAGCTAGTATGGAAAAAAGAACAAGGAAATGTAACGCAGCCACATCCAGTTCATATACAATAAAGAGGACAGATTTGTCATTATTGGTTTGCTTAAAAAATGCAAGTCATCTCAATTCTTGATGGAATTAAAATGATCCTAGATTGCTAATGGCCCAAGGTATGTGTATTAGGCCAAGTAAAAGTAAAACTCTTTGGAGTTAGATACAATTCTAGGCCTCCAAACACCTTAAATTGCCTGTATAAAATGTCTAGCTCTCATTAAAAAATAACTGGACCTCTATGAAGACAAAACTACCAAAAGAAGAGCAACATCAGACAATACAAAAAGATGCACAGAGGATGAAGATAATAGTTATTATGCAGAGACTAACTGTGCTCAATACATTCAAGGAAAAAAGATAAGACTGAGATTTTTAAGCAGAGAATAGAAACTATAAAGCAGGACCAAGTGAGAATTCTAAAACTAAAAAGAAACCCACAAAAACCTGAAACTATGAACTTAATAACTGGTTTGGTTTAATTCTGACACACCGAAGAAAAATATCAGTGAACTATTAGAGAGTTCAGCAGAGGAAAATACTCAGAATGTAGACTGAGTAACAGAAGACTACATACAGAGAAGAGTATATAGGTTCAGAATGCATAGTGAAATATAGAGCATACCTGTAATGGAGTCAAAGGAGTGAAAAGATGATGGGCAGAAGTGGTATTTGGAGTTAATGGCTGAGGCTTCTGAAATTAATGAAACACATCAACTGAGATTTAAGTATCTCTATGAATGCTACCCAAAGCCACACTGAGGCCCAACAAAGTATAACTGCTGAAAATCAGAAACAAAGAGAAAATTCCCAGAGGAAAAAAGAGATGCCTTTCAAAGAAGCAAGAATAAGACAAAGAGATGGTGGAAACTGTCAGAAAGCTGGCAGAAAAAAAAAGGAAGCCAGGAAAAGTGTAGGTCTCTTAATAACGATATTGACTTAGCTTCTCTAGATTTATTGTTAACTAAACAATAAATGTCTTTATAGTCCAAAGCACACTACCTCAGGTTGGTTACTTGTATCAGAAACTATTCTGCTATATAATGACATAATGTTTAAGAGGCATTCCAGAAGAGAGAGGAAAGAATAGTGCTCAAACAATATTTAAAGATGCAACAGGTAAGAATTTTCTTGAATTAAAGAAAGATATGAACCCTCAGATTGAACACTGTAGGTACTAAGCATGAACGCTATAGCTACTGAGCAGGTGAAACAATAGACATTCATTAATAAAGCTGCAGAGGACCAAAGTATCAGGTAAAATCCTAAAGGCTACTAAGGAGAAAAGAGTTTATCTAAAGAAGAATAAAAATTAGACTCAATAGAAAAATTTCTGTAGCTATATAACTCTGATACAAAACCAGAAAAGTATAGTACAAAGAAAGAAAATTACAAGCCATTTTCACCTAGGAACATATATGTCAAGATCTTAAAATATTAGATCAGAATTCAGCACTGTATTTTACAAAATAAGCACAATTAAACAGATTCACCCAGAAGTTCAAGGATGATTCATCATTAGAAAGCTAAGTGATGCAATAAACCACATTTTCATATTAAAAGAAAAAATACATATAATTAGATACAGAAAAGTCATTCATAAAATTTAATGCTCCTTCATAATAAAATTCCGAGTGAGATAAAGAGTTCGATAGGAAATCTATCAAAAACAAAAACCTAAAATCACACTTAATATCAAGACTTAACAAGCATTCCAATGAAAGTCAGGACCAATACAAGGATATTGGCTGCCTATGCTGGCTTTTTTGTAAATGGGGATTGTTAACATAGAACACAAAAGAATTTAAAACAAACCATCAAAATAAATTAAGAATCTGAATTATGCTGGATATAATATCCATATCTTATAAAAGATGGGAAAGGACTTCATAGAGACAATTATAAAACATTATTTAAGGAAAAAAAAGATAAAAATTCTCACTGATTATATCTTATGCAATATTCATGGGTGGAAAGACCTACTTGATATATAAATAAAAGTCCCAGTAAGTCTTTTTAGAAGGGTAAATGTAACAAAGGGAATTCTGAAGAAGAGCAATGTGTAGAGGCTCTCGACATATTAGGTATCAAAACTTATTATAAAGACAGTGTGGTGCTAGCATGAAAATAGAAAGACCAATAGAGTATTATCAGAAAGTCCCCTGAACAGAGCCAGACCTTTAGGAAAATAGTATGATACAGATGGCATTATAAATCAGTGTGGGATAGACAAATAGATGGTACTGGGACAATTTTCTACATAGAAAAAATTAGATTCCCTATTTCACACTAATTTTGTACAACAAAGTCAGTTCCAGGTGGATTAAAGATATGGATGTGAAAAGCAGATGATTTAAAAGAAAAATATAGGGAAAAATTTTTCTGATTTGAGGTAGGAGGGATTGAACCAAGACATGAAAAGTACTCACAATATTAAAAATTTGGCTATATTTAAAATTAAAAGTATCTGTACAAAAAAATGAACATGAATATACATAAAGCAAGACAGGTCATAGACTGAAAGATATTAAAAACATATAAAATAGGATTAATATGAATAAAATACTCCTACTCCTATAAATTGATAAGCAAAAGATTAAAGCCAATAGAAAATTACACAGAAGATACCAACAGAAAAAACTCAAATGACCAATAAACAATCCAAAAGATGCTCAATCTTGTTACTAATCAGAGAAGTGCAAATTAAAGATGAAACATCATCTCACATTCATTAGATTGGCGAATACAGTACTAAAAAATAACATCATCAAGGGTTGGAAAGAATGCACAGAAACAGAATGCTTCACTAGTGAAAATGTGAAGTTTGGTATAAAACCACTTTGGGAAGCAAGTTGGCAATAGTCAGTACTTGAAGATAAGCATTCCCGCAAGCAATTCCACTCATAGTAGTAACACATTAGGAAAGCTCCTGAAAATGTGGACAAAGATAAAGGCCAACAATGTTCACTGCAGCAGTTTTTAATATATAACTATAAACACCTAAAACAGAACAAATGAAATTTGTTTTTATGTAATAGAATATCCTCTGGCAATTAAAATAAGCTATATGCATAGGATAAACCACAAAATAATATTTAGTGGAAAAATATTTTGCAAAATCATACTCAGTTTGAAAATATTTAAAGTTTAAGAACATACTAAACAATAACATATACATATATATAATGTACATATGAACCTAGGTACTAAAGTATAAAATATAAAAACATTACTAGGTACACTGAACACTAAATAGGGACAGTAGTTACCACAAGAAGGAAGAATGAGAGAGTTTAACTGTGTCTGATTTTCATTTTTAAAAAATCGGAGGTACTGGCAAAATGTTAATAGTCCTTAAAGCTAGGAGTGAATACACAAGTATTCATCATCTTATTCTACTGGCTCTACGTGTTTAAAATAATTCACAATGAAAAAAACGGAAAAATGGTTAATACTACCTAAAGAGAACCTTAAGAGGTACAAGAATAAAACCTCTCTCCCAACAAAGGGCAGTCCAAAAAAATTTTTTTTTAAGTCAAACCACTCATAAAAAAGGTAGCAGAGTGTCACCCCAGCTTAACAGCATAATTAAAGCTTATTACTTGTTATGTACCATTGTTAAGTACATAGCTAATGTGTTTAAGTATCTTAGCGTTTAAATAAAAAATTACGAGATTTTAGAACACAGCAGAAATACATTCTAGTTTGCTTAAGGATTTGTACGTGTTAGGTAAAACCTACCATAGTAGGTGAACTGACATTCGCGTCTCACCTTCTTTATTAAGATGTCCAGATTCGCCCACACAAAACACAGATTCGCCCAACACAAAATACACAAGCCTGTGAAAGTCTTATTCTCTTTTAACCTTTTTTGGGTTGTATACACATTTAATACTAATTAAAAAGTCACAAAAGCCACAGGCCTTAGAAAATTATACACTATTTTACACACAAGGGCCATTAGATTTGGAACTCCCGCTTTAAAGTCGCTTCTCCACATCTTTATCCGAAACATTTCTGAGTTCTGTTGGTAAATAACGCGTCCCAACTGCGTAAAAGTAACCTTTGGGGCTTTCACCAGTTTCTCGAGAGGTTTTCGAAGCTTTAGAGCATTTGCCGCTCTCAACAGACTGAAAGTCTAACGCTTTAAAGGGGATCTAGTAGCTCTGCCAAAGAGTCCCGCAAGCAGAAAGGGGCAGGAAGCCGCTCCCTTTCTTTCAGGCACCGGGACCCAGAGAAGCACCCAGGAACTCGCTGGAGAAACTACAGCCGTCGGGTCAGAAACAGCTGTCTGACGCCGAAATTGCCTTTGCAGGCTCCCTGTCACCCCCTCGACCCGCTACCGGTTGGGGGCAGGTTGAGAGGGGGAGGGGACCTCACCCAACAGCGGCCTCAACCGCCTCCTGCCAAGTCCCTGCTCAGGCCCACCAAACCTGCGGTCAGAGGAATCCCACACTCACTGGAAAGCGGGACCGGGCCCTGGTCCCGGCCCGGCCCCTGGAATTCGGCGGGTCTCCCAGGGCTTGGGGGGAGGCGGCGGCTGGGACGCCATCTCCTCCGACTCCGCTCGGCTGTGGTTCCGCGCTGGGACTCTCCAGGCCGCGGTACAGCGGCAACTCGCGCGCCAGGCACGCAGGCAGAACACCGAGCCCTCCACCCCGCCCACTTCTGTAGTCAGGACGTCGTTGTGGTGCACTGCCAGCTGGGGGGCACGGGATAGGAGGTTGCCACTAATCCATGGTGGTGACGGTGGCTATTTGTCCTAGAAAGAATTTCCTTTCTAGACCTGAGAGTAAGAGCTCATCGATATTTCTGGCAGCAGCTACAATATCCTAGACACCGGAGACCCTTAGAGGCTTCCCGGGGACTAGTCCGACTTAGGCCGGGAGTTGGTTCTTGGCAATTGCACGCTCTCAGGGTCGCTGGGGCTTGGGACCGCCGGCCAGGGAGTTTTACTGATTGCCCTACAAACTAGCGGGGAAGAGTTCACTCCATCCTCGACGGGACTGGTTCTTTCGTTCTAAAAAGCTCTCGTTTCCTTGGGGAACAGAATTGCTAGACGCAATAGGTGCGTTGTCTTTAGTCTTCCCCGTTCCCTCTGCGGATCGGAAGGGGTTAAACCTCAGGCTCCGGCGCCGTGGGAGAAGGTGAGGCTGGGAGGTCTGAGGTGAGGGGGCGCGGACTGGGTGCCAGAGAGGTGTGGGTGGAGGGGATCGTTTCCTTCCTGCTGGAATGGCTTTGTTAGCAAGACGGAGTGGAAGTTTCTCGGACCTGACCGAAAGGAGGAAGGGCTTGACTTGATCAAAGGAGAGACCCGAAGTTAGACCTCGGATGAATTTCCAAGAGTGTGTAGTAGATTCCACAGCTAAATGTATCTGAAGCGCAATGAACTTGTGAACGCCCGCTTCTTTGGAAATCTACACCCCACCCTCAACCCCAACCCCTCGAAAGGAATGACATCCTTTTGTATGTACGTTAGTGAAAACAGCAAGGAATAGGAGACTCAGTTTGGTCATTTTGGTTTTTCATATGTCTTCCCTGTTTGCAATGAGTGGTTTCTGTAGACGTCCGAGGGGTGAAAAGGATCTCTCCTCCAGTAAACCAAAGACTGGGCTAGTTCTGATTGGTTTGTGGAGAAGGGACTTGATCCCTGAAGGGTTATTGACCTGAGGGGTAGGTTCTGTTGCAATGACTTGCTCCAGTTCATTCTGTAAAACAAAAAGCAAAAATCTTAAAGGCAACAGCCAACAATAAAAACATTAGTTTGGAATGCATTTCTCAGGGCTTGCTTTCATACGTAATAAATCTAATATGAAAGGACTCATTTCTGATGTCTTTGAAATCCTATCAATTCAACACTGTACTTGAGGATGAAACAACTAAGTTTAAGGCATAACATATTTATTTCCTCCCTTTAATGTTAACGTGCAGAAGTCTCTAGATAACTGCTAGGTGAAAATGATCTTGAGGGTTTGTAAGTCCATTCAAGTACCAACACACAGTAAAGGGGGCTTTTTGTTTCTTTTAAGACCTCTTCAAATTAGGACAGGTGGTTTCCTAATTTTCAACAGGGTTGGAAACTTCTCAGAGCCAAGAGATGTGTCATTTTTTTACTTTGCCTAATATATTTAGGCTAGTGAACCTATTGGAGAAGTAAACATTCAGTCTTTGAACCAAAGGAAAAAAAGCATGCATTTTAATAAAACGATTAAACTTAAGCCCTCCCCCGCCCCCACGAAATGTTTGATGCAAGTTGTCCTTTTTAAGCACTTAAAACAACTTATTGGGGAAGAAGGTTTGTTTCTCTTTTTTATTAATCCCAGAAAAGATTAAATGAAATCCTTGACCTTAACTAATGAAAAGGAGGAGAGAAGATAATTTAAAATAGGTGGTGAGAGGTGGAGAAAGACAAATATGATTTTACTTCTTTGTAGAATCTAAAAACAAAATAATACATAATGGACAAAATGGCAGTAGACTCTTAGACACTGAGAAGTGACTGGTGATTACCATGGGGGAGGGGTTGAGGAGAGAGAGAGAGAGAAGAGAGGGTGTGTGTGTAGGGTGAGAGGGATAAAGGGCACAAAAACTCTCAATCATAATATAAATTGGGCACCTGGATGGAAGGGCAGTATGGAGAATATAGTCAATGATTCTGTAACATCTTCCTATGTTGACAGATAGTAACTACACTAGTGGGGGTGATGATTTAATAATATGGGTAACTGTTGAACCACTGTTGTGTACTTGACACCAATATAAGATTGTAAGATTGCATACCAATGATACTTCCAATAAAGAAATAAGTAAATAAAATAGATGAAAAAAAAGAAACAGTTTCTCTGTGAGGAAGGTGCACTAAGGGACACTTTAAATGCTGATAATCAGCCCCTCACGGAATCCCAACAACTGCATCAAACCAGCATATTAAATGCACTGGGGGAGGGAATTCAGGTCACTTGTAAATAATAATGACCACACAGAGTTTCATTAAATGTAGTGTTATCCACATATTCTGTGTACTTTTGTGAAAATGCCCTTGATCCCAAAGTTACTTAAGCAACCCTAAATCGGTGTTTCCCAATCCATATGTCTAAAAGTTTCCCAGACTGGTATGTCCAGACAAGCCTCTCTTTCCTCTTTCTTTCCTTGCCAATACAAATATTCACCTGAATTAGAACCCAGCCAGTGGCATTCTGGTTTTTGTACTCATGGCTACTGAACTGTTTTTTTATGAAGAGAATACCTGTCTCTCTCTCAAGGATCTACTTCAGATTACTGGCCACAAGCATTTAGAAACTTGCAAGTAAGTAGTAGATTTTAAAGGGTTAAAAACACAAACGTTCTAAGAATCACATCTTTGTAGTAAGCAGTTGGTAAGAGCTTCACCCTCACAAATTTTAAGCGAATGCATTTGAATTATGAAACAGCACAAATTAAAATGTACTCTTTTGTCTTTATGACCACTATGACTCCATACCACAGCATTGCCATGCAATCATTATTTTATGAAACTGCTAGTTCCTCATTTTAAAGTAATGTGAACTGATTCATTGATTTGAAGATCTGTTTTTGCCAAACAGAATGATTAGGTAATTTTAATACCTTTCCTTCCCGGCAGCAAGAGAGTTAAGTTAGATTCCCCCTCACCCCAATTCTCTTTAGTATTTGTTTCTGAGTGAGTTTATACTAATGAAAAAAGTAGCAACTTGTTTTAAAGCATAATTATTCTAAAGTATTTTGTGTTTAATTTGTTTTTGTTGAAGGTTTTGTCTATGAAAGCAGATTTTTCTCATTTCACTAAATGGTTGTTGTGTAGTTTATTATTTCATCAAAATAAAAATGTTTTTGGATCTACTGATCAATTTGCTTTAAATAACTGCTTAACTATCATTAAGGTTAGCCAAGTATTATGTAATATAGACTGATCTGATTATTTTTTTCTAGCAAACTCATTTTTACTTTCTAATAGGAAAAGTTTATTGAATTTACTACTCTGTTCTCTGTACTGAATGGTACAAAACAAAAGACAAACGTTTCACTCTTTGCTATTGTTAACATTACGCTCCTCAAGGACAACCATTCCTGATTATTTCTTCTTATTTAGTTATATTGATCTACTTTGCTAAGCTAAATTCCTTGACAATTAGAAACTTTAACTTGATTCACCTAATACATCTTTAAGTTTATGTTTCAACATGCATATAGTGCCAGGGATATTACTGTAGAGTATGAAGTAGTGTTCTTCACATAAAAGCTGGTTTTCATCCCTAAAGGTGGTGACATATTTATCTGTGAAGATAAAACAGAAAAGATGCTCATTAGTTTTATTTTTCTTTCTTTCTAGTTATAATTCAATATGTTTCCACTGATGGAGGAGAACAAGCATGTGGCTCAGCTGTTGTTCAGTACTGGTACTTGTCCAAGATGTATCTTCAGATTCTGTAGTGTGGATTTTCATGCACCTTACAAACTTCCTTACAAGGTATTTGCATTTTTTTTCAGTTTAGAAAGTTTCTCTATTTTTAAACGAGTATCTGTACATGTGAGGGCAAGTATCTATCCATAACTCATCATTAAATAAAGAAAAAATACTGTAATGGTTACTGATAATGGTGATTTTGGAATTTCCATTACCATAAAAATGTAAGTTCCTCCTTAAGTGGTTATATCTAACATTTAATATAATGGGGTCTTTATGGAGCAATATCCTGGTGCATTTAATGTTTCAAAAGGTCTTTCTTAAAGTATATCTAGACAGAATATCACAAAACAGTGCTTCTCAGAGATAATTTAATAAGATGTAACAGGAGGGGATGATAATCCTGAGATCTTCTATTAAGTGGAAGCATTGTGGTTTGATTACATTTTTTCTTTTTCTGTTTTCTATATTACCATTTGTACTTAGAAGTAGGTATTTGTAACCCTGTTGAAGTAAATGCTTAACATCATTATTTATTGCTATTAATAATAAAAATAATAAATAGAGATATTTGGCATTTATGGTACTATACAGAGACCTTTGATATTTAATAGAATACTTTCACATAAAATATATAACATTTTGTGCAATATATTTGATTCTATTAGTGATGCTCTTTTCAGAGGCAGATAGCAATTACATATATGTGTGTGTGTATATATATATATGTAAATATATACATGTATAAACAATATGTACACACACAAATGTGCACTCAGTTTCTTATAATTTTTTTAAACTGCCTAGGAGTCAGCAATAGTGGTCATTTTTCCTATGTATTAGTTGTTCCTATTATTTTTGAAATAATAATTATATCCAGTATTCATATAGCATTATTATATGTCAGGTTCTCATATAATCCTCATGATAACCTATTAGGTAAGTACATACTATGATTGTCTCTATTTTCAGATGAAGAAACTGAGGCACAGAGAGGTTAAGCAACCTGTCCAAAGTTACACAGCTATTAAGTGAGCAAGCTAGGAAATGAACTTTCTGTCTGAATCCAAAGCCTAGAATTTGGAGCTAGAAGATGTGGATTTGAATCCCAGTTCCACCACTTTTCAACTTCACTTTTCTCCTCTGTAAATGGGAATGATGATAACATCCATCTCACAGGATTTTAAGGGACAATATCTAATAAAGTATGTGAAACATATATGTGTGTATATTCATTTATATACACTATGACTATAATAAGACTGGTTCTTTGTAACTCTTACATGTTTTTCAGATACATTATATATAATCTATTATTCTATGCATATGTTGTTAAGATTTAAAATACATATTAAAGAGTCTTAGTGTTTCCAACTTTTGTTTGTATCATTTTATGTAACTAAACATGAAAATATTTGAAGACAATTTTTTTGGTAAATGTGCTTAAATTTTCATCTGTTTTATATATATAATTATGTATACATACATATACGTGCTATACTATACTGACATTATAGATCTTAGAAAATAAAACGTATTTGTTTGGGTCATAATATACTTATATGTGTATATATGTATATTTCTCTGTTAAAGATAAAACAAGAACTAATGTCTTAATAAAATGAATGAAATTTGCTTACTTTAGAGTCAGTAAGTTGTTACCTGAGTGAAATTCAAAAGGGTATTTATTCAACAACTGAATAGTAAAATCTAATTTAGACCAAGCAAAGGAAAAGTCCTCTGAGTGTATAGATGAGTGGAATGTCTAAAATATGAGAATGGTTTCAAAGGAATGACATTTTTCTACATTCTAATACGAAGGGGGACAGAAATTAGGCACCACAGAATTAGGCAGAGGGCTTCTTTCAATTAATGCATATAAATGGTTCATAATTATGGTGCCAACTTTCATCAATGCCAGCATCTGTTTACCTTTGTTTAGGTAATTGTCTTGAAATTATTTTTACTTAATAGACTTCTAATCTCTAATTTTTTAGATTTCATATGAGAGTTTCAGGTAAATAATGAGATTTTAGTTATTGTGAAATTATTAAATAACCTAGCAAGGATGGAAATCCGCTTGTATTTCTATTTCTTAATAATTAGAATTGAATTTTTTTTACTACAGTTAGTAAATAAATGAGCCTCACAACAGAATTACAACTCAAATTAATAAATCTGTTAGTGGAGCCTTTCTGCCTCAGATTGAGGACTTCAGCTTCACTGATATTTGAAACTTTTCTGAAAAAATATTCATACATTTATTGTAGGAGTAGATAATTCTGTTTTAAATTCCCCAGAATGCCAATGCTGGCTAATACAATTAATTGATTGCTACAAAATTGATACAAATCAATATTGCCTAAGTCTGTGATATATCATAATTTTCACTCCTGTTTTCATGCTTCATCTTACCCTTAAGGGCATTATCAATGGGTTATTACTTTTTTTTAAATTAACTTTCCAGGAGTTGCTCAATGAACTACAGAAATTTCTGGAAACTGAAAAAGATGAATTAATTTTGGAAGTTCCAAACCCACCTCCCAAGAAAATTCGACTACAAGAACTAGAAGATGGGATTGATGGGATTGATAATCTGAGTCAAAATGGAGAGGCAAGGGTCTCCGTTATTGAAGATGGAAGCATTGCTTCCAAGAACTCAAATTTAAATGTATGCAATGTATGTCTAGGAATTCTTCAAGAATTCTGTGAAAAAGAGTTCATTAAAAAGGTAAATAATCTGTTTATTATATGTGCAATTATATAGAGATTTTCAGTCTTAAGTCCTGAAATTCTAGACCTATGGAGTAATGCCATTCATTTCAACTTGTTTCCCAACAACCTGTTAATTTTCTTATTTAAAAAAAACCCAAAAGCCTACTATTTTTGAATTACCTTTTTATCAACATGATATCTGAAAATTGATGAAATATGTATCCATGTATTTCAGTCATGAGTGCTCTTTAATTGAAGAAAAATATAGCAGCTTTCTCTTTGCTCTCCTCTCTAGGAGAGCTTTCTTCATCGTATCTATTAGTGTTTAGGAAAGACAAGTGTTAACAGCCTTGTGGAAGTTACATGACTGATGTGGGATTGCCTTTTGTTTTCAGCTGTTAAGAGTGCCAAATTTGGCTTTATATTGTTTTAAATATTTTTTGAATTATGAAATGATCTAATAGAAAACTATTTTGACATTGAACAGATTATTTTGCAGGTGAGTCCTGGCTGTTTTGATGGCTCATTATTATCAGTCTTCAGGGGCATAGTTAGCAATATTTGATTTCAGGATGTGTGTGAGAGTTTCCAAAAGTGGAAGTTTGGAAGTTCTGCAGTGTCATCTCCTAGAGCAAAAAGTCATGTTATGAAGATTAGTGTGAAAATTTTCAGCAATTCCTGGTAATTTATGTAATACTTCTCTATGTAATAAAAAATACTTTTTATGTAATACTTTTTTAGGTGTGCCAGAAGGTTGAGGCCTCTGAGTTTGAATTTACCAACTTGGTATTTTCAGTCTCCTTCCCACCACAGCTATCTGTAAGAGAGGTAAGGTCATTTACATGCATAAAACTGTATGTGAAATTCATGCTAGAAATTTCTCAAAAATGAGGGTGTAAAAATATTCCTTATCATATACTATTTTTCACATTTTGTGTATAGATTGAATGATTGAAAACATAACATTACTATAGCTACTTAATAATGTTGAGTGAATGGATAAAAAAAACAATTACTAGTTAAGTTACTTAATTCATATAGGACTACCTTCTTTTTTAAAGGTCCTCATTCAAAAGCAGACATTCATTGAACATTAGCTGTATGTGACGCATGTTGGTCAGAGAAAGAGATTTGACTAGAACTCCAGAGATTTTTGGGGGCAGATCTGTGCATTTTATAGTGGCCCTAGGGTAGGGTCATTTCAATTATTATTAACCTTATTTTCTGGAGTTAAAATATAGAAAGTGGTACCTCTTTTAGTCAGTGGAAAAAGGGAGAGAAATTACCTCATGTTTATTTTAACTTTTTCATTTGTTAAGTGAAAAAAAAAGTCATTACTGTAACATTCTTGTGTGTCCAAAATAACTTGGAAACATGAAACTATCTTTGTAATGCTGCTAAATGAAGTATAGGGAGAATGGCCTCTGTAATCTCAAAATTATAACACTGAGTTCTAAATGTACCCATTTATATGTGTGAGGTATCTTTCCCCTAAGAATCGAAAGCATCACAGCTCATTACATTTTTTTTTTTTGCTGATTGAATGCTTTTATTTTATTTTACTATTTTAAAAATTTTGATATCATTAATATACAATCACATGAGCAACATTTTGGTTACTAGAATCCCCCCATTATCAAGTCTCCATCACATACCCCATTACAGTCATTGTCCATCAGTGTAGTAAGATGCTATGGAGTCACTACTTGTCTTCTCTGCGCTTTACTGCCTTCCCTGTGACCCCCCTGTGTTATGTGTGCTAATCATAATGCCCGTATTCCCCTTATCCCTCCCTTCCCACCCACCCTCCCTAGTCCCTTTCCCTTTGTTAACTGTTAGTCCATTCTTGGGTCCTGTGAGTCTGCTGCTGTTTTGTTCCTTCAGTTTTTGCTTTGTTCTTACGATGAGTGAAATCATTTGGTATTTGTCTTTTTCCACCTGGCTTATTTCACTGAGCATAATACCCTCTAGCTCCATTCATGCTGTTGCAAATGGTAGGATTTGTTTTCTTCTTGTGGCTGAATAATATTCCATTGTGTATATGTACCACATCTTCTTTATTCATCTACTGATGGACACTTAGGTTGCTTCCATTTCTTGGCTACTGTAAATAGTGCTACAATAAATATAGGGGTGCATATGCCTTTTTCAAACTGGGCTCCTGATTTCTTAGGGTAAATTCCTAGGAGTGGAATTCCTGGGTCAAATGGTATTTCTATTTTTAGTTTTTTGAGGAATCTCCATACCGCTTTCCACAATGGTTGAACTAATTTACATTCCCACCAGCAGTGTAGGAAGGTTCCCCTTTCTCCACACCCTCGCCAACATTTGTTGTTGTTTGTCTTTTGGATGTTGGCCATCCTAACTGGTGTGAGGTGATATCTCATTGTGGTTTTAATTTGCATTTCTCTGATTAGCAATGTGGAGCATCTTTTCTTGCCATCTGAATTTCTTCTTTGAAGAAGTGTCTGTTCAGCTCCTCTGCCCATTTTTTAATTGGATTATTTGCTCTTTGTTTGTTGAGGCATGTGAGCTCTTAATATATTTTGGATGTCAACCCCTTATTGGATCTGTCATTTATGAATATATTCTCTCATACTGTAGGATGCCTTTTTGTTCTACTGATGGTGTCCTTTGTTGTACAGAAGCTTTTTAGTTTGATATAGTCCCACTTGTTCATTTTTGCTTTTGTTTCTCTTGCCTTGGGAGATATGTTCATAAAAAGTTGCTCATGTTTATATTCAAGAGAGTTTTGCCTATGTTTTCTTCTAAGAGCTTTATGGTTTCATGACTTACATTCAAGTCTTTGATCCATTTCGAGTTTACTTTTGTGTATGGAGTTACACAGTAATCCAGTTTTATTCTCTTGCATGTAGCTGTCCAGTTTTGCCAACACCAGCTGTTGAAGAAGCTATAATTTCCCCATTGTATATCCATGGCTCCTTTATTGTGTATTAATTGACCATATATGCTTGGGTTAATACCTAAACTCTATTCTGTTCCATTGGTCTATGGGTCTGTTCTTATGCCAGTACCAAATTGTCTTGATTACTGTGGCTTTGTAGTAGAGCTTGAAGTTGGGAAGTGTAATCCCCCCTGCTTTATTCTTCCTTCTCAGGATTGCTTTGGCTATTCGGGGTCTTTTGTGGTTCCATATGAATTTTAGAACTATTTGTTCCAGTTCATTGAAGAATGCTGTTGTTATTTTGGTAGGGATTGCATTGAATCTGTAGATTGCTTTAGGCAGGATGGCCATTTAGACAATATTAATTCTTCCTAGCCAAGAGCATGGGATGAATTTCCATTTATTAGTGTCCTCTTTAATTTCTCTCAAGAGTGTCTTGTAGTTTTCAGAATATAGGTCTTTCAATTCCTTGGTTAGGTTTATTCCTAGGTGTTTTATTCTTTTCGATGCAATTGTGAATGGAATTTTTTTCCTGATTTCTCTTTTTGCTAGTTCATTGTTAGTGTATAGGAATGTAACAGATTTCTGTGTATTAATTTTGTACCCTTCAACTTTGCTGAATTCAGATATTAGTTCTAGCAGTTTTAGAGTGGACTCTTTAGGGTTTTTTATGTACAGTATCATGTCATCTGCAAATCAAGTAAAGGATTTTTTAAAAAATTAAATTTGTATTAATCCCTCCATATTCCTGGTCCTACCAATCTCTTTCTGGGTATAGCTATAGTTTCTATTTATCTTAATTATAAAAGCACTAATTTAAAGGCTGAAGGAGAGATATGATAGTGGTGATATGGCAAGAAATTGTGTACCTGCATTGAGATCTAAGATCCTGCGAGTGGAAGGATGCTGAATACCATATAGAGGAGAATAAAAGAGAGAAATAGGGTAGATTCTACAGGGATGGAACTGTTTTGTGTATCCCTCAGCCAAGGGAAAAGGTAATGAGTTGGAGACAGGAACCAGACACAGAAGTTAGTATGTACAGTAGTATGACGGACTCCCAGAGTTTAGACCTTGGATTGATACCACACTTGGTTAAAAGCACATTGTTTGGCAGCTTTTGAATTGGAACAGTGTATTCTTCTAAAGTGGTGGTTCTCAAACTTACTACGTATAGGACTCCTTTGGAGAGTTTCCCGGGCAATTCCCAGAGATTCTCATACAGTAGGTCAGTGGGACCCATGAACCTCTGTTTCTAACAAGCTAATGGGTGATATTGAGCTGCCAATACAAGGACCATACTTTGAGAACCACTGTCCTATAGGATAATGGGGGAACTAATCTGCTCCTAGATGAAAATATTGATAACCTCTTAAAATTTGTGCTCCTGATAGGAAGAGAGAAACAGGCATAATTAGAATATACCCAGACTTTTGATAGGTAGAATCAAACAGTCCAAAGAAAAGGCAGTCAAAGAAAAATGCCAAAGGAATCTGGGCTGGAAGATAAATTTAAAAGGATTGGGAAGTTCAGAGAAAGTATGATTCCAACTTTAATTAAAACCAAATTATCCCAACCAATAAAAATAAATTTGGGGAAAATAACAAATTCTCAATGAAGGAGAAAGGGGGAATATCCCTCTCTTCCATATTTACATAAACATTTGTATTTAATATATTTATATATACTTTTTCAACCTTTTATTTTGGCAAACTTCAAAAGTACTAAAACTAGCCTAACAGACCCCTATATATATGTATAATCCAACTCCAACAGTTAAATTTTTTTGCCAGCCTGAGATCAATTTCAAAGAAAAAGATAGAGGAAAGGTAAGTCAAATTAATGCAGATGTAAGGAGGCTTAGGTCTGTAAGAATAATAAGCAATTGGAAAATAAAATCTCTAATGAATAGTGGTTTGTAAGAATTGCTAAGGAAGACTTGGGATACTTAAAGTTATGTTTAGAGCAAGAAGGAGATGAAAAGGGGATGGATCTGCTCTTTGGAACAGAGGTATGCTGCTGCTGATTGATGTAGAGAAAGCAGACCTCTGACAGTCCTGTTTTCCTTCTGTCCTTCCTGTCAAGGAAAATGATCTTCAACTGAAGAGGGTAGAATGATGATTGGTAAGGGAGAATGAAAGCTCCGCGTGGTGAAGAGTCTCTGAATGGGTTCAGGTGTTCGGGCCTGGATGAATTACATTCCTACAGATAAGAACAGTTACAATTTCCCAAAGGTGAAAAAAGTTGGTCTGTTAACTACCAATGAGTGAGCTGGACCCTAAAACCCTAGCAATATTCTAGACCAGCACCCGAAAAATAAATTGTGGGCACTAAAGATAAAAAAGTTGTGTCATCAACACACGGAACAGATTGGCTAAGAACAAGTCATGCCTGCATCATTCCTTCCTTTTACAGACTAGCAGGACTGGCAAAGCAGGACAATACAACACTAGTGTGACTGGAACTCAGCTAGCCTTTCTCATGATAACTTCCTAAAAGTGGCAGGAAACGTGAACCAGATGTGAAATAATTGGGCAGATTGTGCCTGATGGTCATACCCAAAAGGAGCTCATTAATTACTGGTACCAGACTCAACAGTGTTTCTTCAAACTTGCTCTGCAGTTCTGGAACTCACTTGGGAATAGGTGTTGAAAACAGATTGCTGGACCTTTTTTCAGACTTCCTGAATCAGAGTCCCTAGATAGAAGAGATAGAAGCACCTCAACAATTCATGTACACTCTAAAGTTAAAAAATCATGGAACTTAAGGGAAATTTCTGGTGTGCTGCAGGACTCTTCATATCTTGTCTTGTTCATCATTTCTGTCAGTGGTGATATAATGGGAACACTTACTGCAGGTGTGCATGACCAGTTCAGAGTGTAGCAGATAGGCTGAGTGTTAGAAGTGAGATCCAGAAAGATCT